CTGTGATGCTTTTAGAAAACAATCAGCTTTGAACTCTAGTACACCTTTATGAGAACAAAACCACGTGGTGCAGTAGCTGCCTACCTTTGCTGTCTGGACCGAGCCCATAGAAGACGTAATGAAGAGTGACCCTAATTAATTTTAAAGGTCCCAGACTAAGGTAACCACCTTTCTGTTCACAGTCATTTCCACCCCTTCTTTCCTGACAACCTAAAGTTTTATAGAATCAGAGTCTGTATTAATACTGCCACTAGGTAATGTGAAGGCTCGGTCTTAAGGATCTGATGCTCCTGTAGACAGTCATGTCAGTATGTAACACGACGATATAATAACTATAAAATAGAATAAACTAGAGGGAAGAAGAGGGGTCGGGGATAAAGAATACTGAGAAACACGTGTTCTAGCGAGACATGTTTATTTATTCGATTTATATAGCTGCCCATCTCCCGTACGTGACTCTAGGCGGCTTACAATAAAATAAAAAATAAAATACCAAGCTTGCTTGCCACCGCTGGCTGATCCTTCGCTACTGTCAGGGGGTCCTTCAGTCTCACATTACAGTATCGGAGAGATCCCGGAGTTTGGAATTTCAACCCGCAGAGGGAAGCAGAGAGGCCGAGAGCAGATTAGTGAAGGGAGCTAACCCCCCCCCCCACCGCCCCTTCCCATTCTACACTAAGAACGAACGGGGATAACGCATCCGCGAGCGCGCTCCCGCCTTTTGTTCGGTGCGCGCGTTTGTTGTTGTACACGCCGCGCCCTCTGAAAACCGCGGAAAGGTCAGGCGGCGGAGGGGCGAGGTCGCGGGCGTGCTTGCATCAGTCGGTTTCCTTCCCGGGGGAGGGAGGAGGGCTTTTGTGGACAGGCACTCAAAGTGACTTTGCTATTCAGGCGGATCAGTGACGTGAGTGCTTCGGAGCTGGGAGTGTCTGCCGGTGACGTCTTCTGTGAAAGGGGGGTCACGTGACAGGGCCCCATTCATTTCGAAAAAAAGAAAGGAAGAAAGACGCCCTCACCGTATAAAAGCCACGCCGGTCGGCTGAGCGAGCAAACAGCAAAGCAAGCGTAAGAGCAGCAACGGTTCAGCCGCAGAACGCGCCACCGAGCTACCGGCGCGCGAGTCAGACCAACAAAGTCCGGATACAAGGCTTCACCTCTCGGCTCAGATCCAGCCTCCTTGGGGGATACAGAAATTGTCCGGGGCGGCTTGCCAGGAAACCTGCCCATAGGTGTGAAAAGCGCGCAGCCCAGCCAAGTGGAATAAAAAGGCGCCCAGGTGGGGGACGAAAGGAAAGGGGGTCTTTGCCTTTCCGCGCTGTCCGCCCTGCCCCGAGCGATGGTCAACATGCAAGTGTGCGCCCTGGACTGCGAGACGCTGCGCGACCTGCTCCAAGACCGCGACTTACAGTGCCTGGTGCTGGACTGCCGATCCTTTTTCGCCTTCAACTCCTCGCACGTCGCGGGCTCTTGCAACGTCCGCCTCAGCACCATCGTCCGGCGGAGGGCAAAGGGGGCCGTGGGCTTGGAGCACATTCTTCCCAACGAAGAAATGCGCGCCCGCCTGCACAAGCGCCTCTTCCACGCCGTGGTGCTGCTGGACGAGCGCAGCGCCGATCTCGAGGCGCCCAAGCGGGACAGCACCGTCCTGCTGGCTCTTAACACCCTCTGCAGGGAAGCCAGGGACGCCCGCATCTGCTTCCTCAAGGGTGAGTTTTAGATCCGGAGCGAGATCGCCTTCCCCGGGTTCCCCGGGACTCCACCCTCGGGTCTACAGAGCGGGGAACTAACACGAATGAGTCGCCTCGCTTGGAGTCAAAGGGAAGCAGTCGTTTCCAGAAAGAAATGAAGGGCTAATAGCTAGAAGAGAGGGACGCTCGGTGACTTAACAGGAGCTCCCTCTTTGGGACCGCAGACTGGAGGGACTCCTCAGCCATGGCCACCATCCCTCTCCGGTCTTCTGAAACCTGCCCCCAGGAGCCCGCTTTGCTTCTCTGAATATATTAACAACCTCTGTTTTCTCTTTTTATCTTCTTCCAGGAGGATACGAGGCATTCTCTTCCACCTATCCTGAACTGTGCACAAAGCCCTCTGCCCCCAAAGGCCTCACTTTGCCGCTCAGCACCACCACTGCCCCCGGCAGTGCCGATTCAAACTGCAGCTCCTGTGGAACCCCTCTCTATGATCAGGTCAGTTGGCATCAAAGGAGGTGGGGGGGGCAGCATGGAGGGGGATGTCTTTTTTTTTTTCCATTGGCCCATGTAAAAGTCGTTTCAATTTTGTATTTGATGCGGGCACGTAGTAGTGAGAACAATCATCTTGGAATAATGGCAGTTTTTGCCCAGGGCTTAACAGAACATGTTCTTCTCTGCTTTAGGGTGGTCCGGTGGAAATCCTACCTTTCCTGTATTTAGGCAGCGCCTATCATGCGTCCAGAAAAGACATGCTGGATACGTTGGGGATCACTGCCTTGATCAACGTCTCTGCAAACTGTCCAAACCATTTTGAAGGGCACTATCAGTACAAGAGCATCCCGGTGGAGGACAACCATAAAGCTGACATCAGCTGCTGGTTTAATGAAGCCATTGACTTCATAGGTAAGCGCATTTTCTTTCTGCAGCTTTCCCATTAGACCCCAAATTTAAAATATCCCAAGCACCAGTCTTTTAGGAGCCTTCTTTGAGTTTGAGATCCAGATAGCCAGTGGGGATCGAGATAGCGCCAGTTAGAATGCATCTGTAGTTATGCTGATGCTTGAGTTTCCTTGGACAATAGTTCTGTGCCTGCCAAGAACATCTAAGCTTTATGCATGACATCACTGGATTCGGTGATGTGGGTGTTGTAAAGAATAGCTAGTAATCCGGTCCTATCTCATGTTGACAGCATTTCCAAGGTAGCCTTTTCAGCAAGAATTAAGTGGCCAATTAGAATAAATTACTGGCATGTTCAGACAAAGCATCCACAACCTATCATTGCTGTCTTCCTTTGTGCCTCAATTTCACTTCCCAGCTGAATATTGAGATGCTAGGAAAGGTTTTCCCTTCAGGCAAAAGCATCTTGGAAGAGAAATGTGCTAAGCTTTATGTTTTACTCATTGTTTCAGACTCCATCAAAAATGATGGTGGACGAGTGTTTGTTCACTGCCAAGCTGGTATCTCCCGCTCTGCAACCATTTGCCTCGCTTACCTTATGAGGACCAACCGAGTCAAACTAGATGAAGCCTTTGAGTTTGTGAAACAGAGAAGAAGCATCATCTCCCCTAACTTTAGTTTCATGGGCCAGCTGTTGCAGTTTGAGTCCCAGGTCCTTGCTCCAAATTGCTCAGCAGAAGCTGGAAGCCCTGCTATGTCTGCACTGGACAGAGGAACATCCACTACAACTGTCTTTAACTTCCCCGTTTCCATCCCTGTCCACCCTTCTTCCAATCCACTAAGCTATCTTCAGAGCCCCATCACCACATCTCCAAGCTGTTGAAAGGCAGGTGCAAGCAGACTCTGCTCAAAGACTTGACATCTTGTTACCTGAAAAGTGCAATAACTTTAGGAGGAGATCTATTAGTTTATATGGGTCTCCTCTTGTTACATCTACAAAGCAATACAGAATCACCAGCAGTGATCAACATTTCTGACTCCAGAAAGCGAGGTTCTTTCTGATAGATGATCTTAACAAAGAGGCATTTTTGACCAATGGATGCCTACAAAGGAGACAAAGCGCAAAGGACTTTGCTTTCTACTCCTGAAAATTCCTATTACTCTTTCTTTCCTCTTGCCGTTCCAGTAGCAAATCCTGCAGTATTCACATTCTCTGGGTATGCTCAGTTGCAGAATGCTGTCCCCTTGTACAAGAAGACCTTTGTATTTATTTATTTTTTATGGTGTAATTGCAATGTATGTTTTGTCTTCGAGTCTGAAGTTTCATTTTCTTGTCTTTTTTTTAAAGAAAGAAACAAAATACCTCAGGTTTTTTTTTTTTTGGGTACTGTAATCCTATAAATACATCTTAAAACTGTTTCCAAAGCACTGACATGGAAAGCACAAAGGAGTGTTGTGGAGGTTTTTTTGGTTGCTAGTGGTTGTATGCTTGCTGATTTTATTTATGATGTGAAATAATATATTTTCTTCTTATAAAAGAAGACAGGTTTTGTAATAATTATGCTTTTTATACAAACCAAATAAATTATGACATTTCTATTGAAAAAAAGAATTCCTTTAAAGTTTTTCCCCCTTTCTTTCTTGATAATGGCAAGATCAGAAAGCAGACATTTCCAGCTTGCTAGCTGATGGACTCTTGTCAAGTGCCTCTTCCCACAATCATGGCAGGACCCTGGAAATCTATGTTGCCCCTAAAAACACTATCTTGCATTACCGTTCAGAGAAGGAGAGAAATAGGATCTCTTTTCTTTCTTTCAGCAAAGGAAAGAAAAACACATAATTAGTTTTCTAAGGCAGTGGATATCAGCCAGATGATTAGTGTTGTCAGATGTGTCTGGATCATCCAAATAAGAAGGAGGAAAAGAGATCCGGTACCACTGTTAAGATGACCTACACTATTAGTATGGCCAGTGTTAATCATATGAAAATGTCTATGACTATTTGATGAAAAACATTCCATTCCTTCGACAACAACTCCAATAATCTTTTGGCTATCTAAGCAGAGACGGGAGGTGAAGTTCAGCGGTACGTGTGTATCCCTGGCTCGATGGCTGCCATTTCTAATGAGCTCCTTTGCTGGCCACCGAAGAGAAGTTGTTAGGAAAGTTCCAAAATGCAGCACACAACACATTTCCATGTTGAATCCTTTTAAAGACTGGGACATATTATATAAACTTCCATTTTTTTCTCTTCTATGGAAGTTGCAATTCTCTGAAAAGGAGAAAAAAGAGTAAAGGCCTGTCCGAGTATTGGGCCATGGAAATAGATGTGGGGAAAACAAATCATTAAATGTACTTTTTAAAAACCATGTTTGAAGCAACCCATTTTTATTTTGAATAAAAACTGTGAGGTTTTTTTTTCGCCCTAAGAGCTTAGAGTCATTTCCCATTGACATTGCTATTCATCTCAAAATGCTATTGCAGCCCCAATGGTTACTTAATGGTGCCTTCTGTGTCACCTCTTGTCTTTCGTGGATATGCCTCAGGGAGAGAAGAATGCCTCAAGGATGAGTTTGAGTGGAAGACGGTCTAATTGACTAATTTCTTCTTAATTTCACTCAGTCGTTCGACGAAGTAAGTTGGTTATCATTGTTCTCATTTTACAGATGAGTTGGAAAGAGACATTAATGTTGCATGAATGGTCTCAGAGCAGTTTTGTGGGCCAGGGATAACATTTCTTCTCTTCAATATTTCATTCACATGGCATGTTAAGCCATGGTTTATTTAATAATGGTTTATTTAATATCCTCAGATGCCTAGGTTCCCGCATGATGCTAAGTCACAAATCATGATTTAAAAACCATATTGATTGGGTTCACAGAAGGCTAAGCATATAACATTTTGTGATTTGCTTGTGGCTTAGCAAGTTGCGTGTACCCAGTCACAAGTCGAAGCCACTGAACCACTTCAGTGCATACAGGATAATAAACTTGGACACATACATGAATCTGGCTAATGCCAGTGGCCAGGTGCATTTACATAATATTGTTTCTACAGGAATTGCATAAATATAACTCTACAGTGTTATAACAAAAGTTTCTTTGGTTTAGAAATCCAAACAAATAGTATTGTAGCTGAGTGCAATGTGCAAACCCAGGCATAATGTGATTAACTTATTTTTGGCTTTGTATGTTGTGAGTTCAGCTATTGTGGTTAATTCAGCATGATTAAAATAAACTATGGCTTAGCAAAATGTGTGAATCCAGCACTGGCAACCAATCAATAGGAATTGTACAGCTACCTGTCTTTTCTTCTTTAATGGATTTTATTTAGTAAAAAAGAATACGGAAAAGACAGGAAAATATTGGAGGGTTACAAATGGAGGATGCTAGCAGAGCCTCTTGAAACATTCTTTGAATGAGGCAGGGTGACTGAACAGACTTGGTCTGTAAGCACCCTCCATCATTGGACTAGATCACAAGATCTCAGAGTCACTTGATTTATTATAAATCAAGCCCTGATATCCAAGGAGGAATATGAGCATTGGTCAAAGCTATACTTTTACATCTGGGGGTGGGGGGGGTACCACAATCACCACTGTGTTCCTGTATTCATCTAATTCTTTCTGGGGATGGTATTTTTCTTTAGAAAGCTTTGTCTGTAAATATCTTGAACTGTACAGAGTGAAAAGATTAACACTAGATGATGACATTTCCTCATCCATCCATGCACCCAAAACACACACAAAACCAAGAGGAAGTGTAAATAAAAATAAACAAAAGTCTCTAACATAGATTTAGGCTTGGTGATTCCAAATTCCTACTCAGCCATAAATTGAATGAGCTTGGTCTAAGTCTCTTTCAGTGACACTCTCTGATTGTGAAAACAAATGTTATAAATAGAGAATATCAGCCATTCTATCCAGAGGATGGCAGGATAAATACACTGAGCCTTAAACTAACCAACATTTTAACCAAGCATGTTGTGTGAATCCAGTCTACATGGTTAGTTCACTGTGTCATGTATCAGAAAATGTGGTTAATTGAGAAAAATATGGTTAAGTCCCATGAATACAGATGTCTTATGACCATAACTATAAAGAAGAAAGATAACTGTTTTCATTCACTGTGTTAACATTCCCATAACGCATTATTGCTAAATAAACCACAGCTTATAATGCATTATGGGAATGTTAACACCGTGACTGAAAACAGTTGTTGTTATCTTCCTTCTTTATAGTTAAAAAGTTCATCAATGCATATAGTTTCATTGACGAAGCCATTCTTGACTATGTGCATTACACTAAAATATAAGTTATGGTTTAGGAAGCACAATGACTGGGTTCACACAATACACTAAGCCAAAACCAAACTACAATAATGCTTAGCACTATTTGTGAATTCAGAGTATTGGAAGATGCCTTGAATACAGTTCAGAATGCATAAAATTCAGCTAGACTGGGTTCTGTGGTCCTTCATTAGCAAAGTCCTGAACCATGGGCATTAAGGACAGGATCTTCTTAGATGTGGAACCACCATTATGGAATTCAGCCTCTGGGCAGCTCTCTCCCTTCCCTTGTTGCTTGAAAACGTTTTTCCTCCTAGAAAACTTCATTGTTGCTCTTATGTTTCAATTTTGTTACTATAGGCATCTACTCTTCTTATATGTTTCTTTTAATGTAAGCTGCTTCGGATATTAGTTTGAAAAGTGGAGTTTCAGCAAATAAGTTTTAAAAAGGACAGGAATGTATTCTGTTCTTTGTATTGTTCCTTTCATCACTCCACTCCCTCCCTCATATTTCTTATGTAACAGCTTCTTCTGTTTGTGGTATGGGCAGTGCAAAATGATTCCACCTTTAAACTGAGCACAGTCAGTGGAAAAATACAACCTTGGCAACCGCCATGATTTGTCCAATTAAAAGAAAGCACACAGCCATCTGTTTAAAGGAATTTCCAATGGGATTCCATTCAGCAAAGGGTTGCAACAACTTGTTTTATCATTTCACAGAACAATTCATTTCTTATTTGGCAGCCAATCCATTTTTCAGTCTAAACCAGTGCTGGAACATGGGCACAAAAGTACAGTTTGGGGCACAGTGTAACATTCCTGACTGAACCCATTCCAGCTGGTTGCAACCTGTGTTCTAGAGGCATAAGGCAAAACAGTTATTTTCAAAAGATTTTGCAGCTATTTGTGTTCAGTGATTGATGACAGATAAGGAAGCCAAGGTTATTTTCGGCACAGTCTTTTTTTTCCTGGCTCACAGTGCCCCTAACCTTTCAGAAAGAAACAGTATACATGCTCACACGCAATTGTAAAGCTTGCTCTGCTTCTTATATTAGAACACTCTTGATTATTAAAAGGTATTGCCTCATCTAGCCTTTATGTAAAGCCTCTTTATTTTAAATCTTTCTGATTCTGGTTCAACAGCCTTTTATCATTATTGTTTATTTATTATTTCCCCAATTTCTCCACAGACCAATGTGTGTATAACTTTAAGATTATATAAATCTGTAATTACACAGTTGCCTATATCCCCATGGAAACAACTAGGAGTTTCCCTTTTGCGCGGAAGGCAATAACATCACTTCCTGTTGCTGATAAAACAGTCTGTCATGAAATGGTGAAAAAGGTTCTCTTGGCGTTGGCAGGAACTTGCTTCAGGATGAGCTGGTTGCCATGCAGTGCTACAAATACATATGAGCTTAACAATAAACATTGTGGCTTTTTTGACGTATGGGAGGGATTAGGAAAAAATGCCATTTGAATGTATATGAGCAGACAATTTTTTAACACACAACACACATAAGCAGTTCTTGAAAACAAGCACATTTGTATCCTTATCCAGGAATTATAGTATGCACATACACACCAATATATGATTCGAGCTCTGTGCAGTTACCCACACCTATGCACATACACAAAGATGTGGGGAGAGGAAAGAGGATTTGAGAAGTATTCCTAACCTTGCAATGCTTTGCTTTAACTTTTTGCATTGTGTCACTGCGTGTACACATTAATCTGTTGATTCCTACTGGTGCAGTACCTAAATTTACCTTCTGTATTATGCAAGTGATTGCTTGAAACAAAATTACATCCCAACCATTAAGTGTACAAGTACACATCAATAAATGACACCTCTTCACAACCTCGACCCGTTTATTTAGTACCTCCTTCCCCTCCCCTCCCCTCCCCTCCCCCTGTCATTAAACATAGTTCTTGCTAAGGCAATCATAATGGAATAAACCAAACTACTTCTTCTCCCATTAGAGTATTGATGATTTTGAACATTGGTTTTGGAGAAGAATCCTGAGAATACCATGGATACCCATGAAAACAAACAAATGGTCATACAAGAAATCAATCCAGAATTCTCACTTGAGGCACAAATTATCAGATACAAATCATCATATTTTTGACA